GCGACGGTGTGCACGCCACGGTCGGTCAGCCGGCTGCACTGGCCGATGTTGAGGGTCTCGAGGTCGTGCAGGGTCTTGGCGATCTTGCAGATGCCCTCGTCGCTGATCTGACAGGCGGACAGCGACAGGGATTTCAGGTTGAACAAACCTTGAGAGATGTGGACGAGCGCCTGATCGCCGATCTTATCGCAGAACGACACGTCGAGCGAGGTGATGCGGCTGCCGCCCTCGGCCAGATACGCCATGCCGATGTCGGAGATGTTGTCGCAGGAGCGCAAATTGAGCTCGCGCAGACTCGACATCCTGGCCAGGTGCTTGACGCCGGAGTCGGTGATGCAGACGCAGAACGACAGGTTGATGGACTTGAGGGTGGTGAGGCCGAGAGACACGTGCCTGAGCGCCTCGTCGCTCAGTCGCTGGCAGTCCTGCAGGCTCAGATGTTCCAGGGCGAGATTACCGTCCGCGGTCTCGCGATTCAGGCCGGCCAAGTGCGCGATACCCATGTCGGAGACGTGCCAGCAGCTTCGCAGATCGAGCCGTTTGAGCTTCTTGAGGCCCCACGCGATCAGCAGCAAGCCGGTGTTGGTGATGTTGCAGCAACCGCCCAGCTCGAGATGCTCGAGATTCTTCAAGTACTGCGCTATCCTGCTGAGCGAGGCGTCCGTCACCTGCTTGCAGAGGGACAGGTTGAGCTCGGTGAGGGACGGGTATTCCTGGCAGAAGGCGTTCGTGATACCGATGTCGGTGATGTTGTAGCAGCCGGACAGGTTGAGCGCCTCGAGATTCGGCACGCCCTTGAGCACGTCGCTGAGGCCGCGCCGCAGGGACAGCACCTGTACCCTCTTGACGCCACGTCGCACCAGACAGGCGAACAGCACCGGCGCCTGTTTCCTGAGGTGCAGCCGCGCCTCCACCCCTCGCCAGACCGAGCGGTAATAGGCGGCGTCGCGCCACGCGGTGCACACTTGCGCGGCGCGTCCCTTGTCGCGTACGTCCAGGTAGCTGAAAATGAGGGCGAGAATCTCCGGGTAGAGGGAGGACACGTGGGTGCTCGCGGCGGGCTGGCCGTGCGTCGCCGCGGTGCCTCGTTGATGCGCCTGATGCGGGTGCAGTTGATGCCGCGAGGAAATGCCGCCCTGGCCGCTGATGGTGTAGGCCGGCAGACCGCCGGCGACGGCAGCGGCGGCGGCGGCCGCGGCGGCAGAGTTGCCACCGCCTCCCGCAGTGCCGCCGCCACCGCCGCACGCACCATTGCCGTCGGTGCCGTAATGCGGCGCCGTGCCGCCCGAGTTGTGCTGGAGTATCGCCTGGTTTTGCGACGTCGGGATCGCCAGGTGCGGCTGGTGCAGGTGGTAGTAGTGGCCCGGACGGTGGAGCAACGTCGTGCCGCCGCGACCGGCGCTCGGCGTCAACGGCGACGGAAGTTCCGTCATCAGCAGCTGGCTCTCCTCCATCTCGTCGTCGCTGTCGTCGTCGTCGTCGTCTGACGCCGCGTCCTCGTGCTCGTCGTATCGCGACGTACCCGTCGTCGTCGCCGTCGCGGTCGCGGTCGCGGTTGCGGTCGCGGTCGCCGACGCCGCTGCCGCAGCTGCCGCGCGGCGAAGCCTCACGCGCAGCGACTCCGCCGCGGCAACCGACGACGAGCGAGCGACCGTCGAGCCCTCGTCGTGTCCTTGTCCGTCGCGGTGATTATCTCCCTCTATCTTGAAATCTTCTTTCTTCTTCTTCCTCCTCTTCCTCCGCCTCCTCTTCTCCGCGTCCCGCGTTGTCCACTCGTTTCCTCTCGGTTAATCCGATCCCCGCCGCTCGCGGTTATGGCGCGACTTCGGTAGTCGCATAATAAAAGTTTGTCCGCGCGCGCGCACGTACCGCGACACGGTATTCGAAAAATCCGTGGATGATACGCGTGATACGCGTGCACTCGCGGAAGCGCGGCGCGAGAATCCCGATATCGATCGCGGCTATTGATCGCCGCGATATCACAGCGCGTCGACGCGACGCGACGCGACGGCACCACGGATCGCTGCTGATCGCGACGCGGCGCGCGCGATCCACGACGTGGTGGTCGCTCGCCGCGGCCGGGAGGGGGGCACGGGCGGACGGCGCAGCGAGATTTATCTCGCGATCGATCCGCGGGGAGCGCCTCGCGGCCTCCGAGATCCAGCGATATATCAACGCGGGGAAGGGGGGAAGAGAGCGATCAACGACACGCGACAACTTCGCGCTTAACAATTCGTACACCGCACCACGTCACACGACTCGTCCGCGAGAGAGTTATTCTTCACGAAAGCACCATTCTCTCGCGCGCGGCACATACAGAAACACCATATCGCGTACCGTCTGGAGACTCTTGGTTCGGTCCCTCCTTGCCGTCGCCTTACGCCGGAAGAAGTGCGCGCGCGGGGCCGCGACTCGCGTTCTCGTAAGCGACCCCGTATTTACTCGTACGTACGTACGTACGTACGTGCCCGCCGCCGCGGTGGTTGTCTCGCAAGTGCAAAAAAGAATCGGCGAGTCGTCGCTGCCACGGAACCGAGTGAGAGAGTAGAGGAAGTGACTGTGGTGTGCGCGACGGAGATCGCGCGAGTAGGGCGAAGGGGCGAGGTGGGGCAGCCGATGGCTGGTAAGAAAGAGAGGAGGAGCGAGGGAGCGAGATAGACACAGCGGGAAGATAAAGAGAGCGTGAGGGACTCGCCGCGCGCGAAGGCAGGAGGAGGACGATAGGCCACCAACGGGCCCCAGGCGGGGCCCAGTACGGGATACTACGGATGCGCGGTGCGTGATGTACGCGTGTATTTCTCGAGAGGAGCGCGCGCCGTTCCTCGTTCACGTGTCGACGACGACGTCGTCGTCGTCGTCGTGGTCCTCGCCGTCGTTATACCGTCACTCCCGAGAAGAACGTTGAACGCCCGTCGACGTCGACGTCAATGTGTGCCGTGTGTCTCGGGGTCACTTAACGTGGACCGCCCGCGGAGCGAAACATCGCCTACTGTGGACAACCGACAACCGAACCGGTGCGCTACCAGCCGCGGACTGTTGTTCCGCCTACCCGAACGCAGATGTCGTGTCGTCGTTCCCGTGGAGCACAGGCGGAGCGTAGCTACGCTCGCCGCGGCCGCCGATTGGCCGGCGCGGCACGAAACCGTGCCACGTGACGGCACCGGCGAATATCGATTCGGGTTGCGCTGCGGCGGCATTTTTAAGTTTTCGTTGCATGGTGGGAGGGCGGGAGGGGCCGGGGGCGAGGGTGAGACACACGGAGCGCACACTGTACAGCCCCGGACCACATCGCGCGTGAGACTACCCTGACTGCCTCGCTTGCCGAAATCCCGGAATGCCGCTGCCGCCGTCGATATACCGAATTCGCGCTCGATATACCGAATAATACTAAATCCTCGACACGATCGCTTATCGCTCTCT